GATTCGGTGAGTCGGGACTGGTGACGAATCCAGCGCTCGCGAGACGAAGGAGATTTCAATCGAGTTAATGATGAAATCTTTCAGAGATTCATCCTTTTTCGAACGAAAAATGTGCCAGAAGCTCTCAAGGGAGATTATATACGGGTGGGGGCGAGGAGTGGCGTTTGTGAATCATCACCGGAAAGATCTGCTTTGTTCCCCCGCAGCCGCCGTGCAATTTCTTCCATGCACTTTCATAATGCTTTTTTTTTTTTCCTCTCCTGAGCGATGACACAGTTGAAATCTCAGTACGCCGAGTGCAACGACCAAACCACGCACAAAGACGGAGTACGGGACGGGACAAAAGAGGAAATTGGAACGAGACAAAAGGTCACACAGTTTTTTTTTTTCATCCTTTCTTCTCCAGTTGCCATGGCGACTCTCCAGCGACTCGGAACCAAACGTGACGACAGGATCGGAAGCAATAAAAAAAAAACTCTGAGCCGCGATTACAACCAGATCTCGAGTTTATGTTCCACGCGTTCACGCACCGTCGGTTTCAGGACGGATGGCTTATCTTCCCAGTACAAAATACCGCTTTTGTCGTGCCGAAGCAGTACTATCGGCAATTATTCAAATGGAAGGTAGGCATTTTAGATTTTATTCCATTGAAAATTAATATTTGGGCTGGTCGTCGATTTCATCAAATTATTCCAAATAAGTAGCAATTGGAATAGCAATTGAATGGAGGTCAATCGAATAGCAGATTTATCAATGGGGATCAATTCAGAGTTTTCTCAATGTTTATTAAAATTTTTCATTCATTTACGTGAGGGACAAGAACTAAATGTTGGTAGAATTTTGGCACGTCTTTTCTTTCATACCGGGTGAGTTATTCCAAATTCTTCTGATAAAATCGATAATCATGACCACACGGCGATGAATTCTCCTCGAGAAAAATGGAACTGGTTGTACAGAACCCTGCGAAACCCGTCGACTCGCAGAGTCACCGTCGAGAGACCCATGACTCGTTTAACCGCTGGACGACCGACGTTTAACCGATCGGTTAAATTTATTCCTGCGTCACTCTTGGGAGCTTCTCGAACATAGAATCACTTGCGGATCGGGTTTCACTTCTCCAGAAAATTGCTCTCGGAGGGGTGCCGAACTCGGGAGTATTTCTTGAGAAAATAAATAAAACCGTACGAGTGGGCGTCGGGCTGGAAAGGCTGCCAGAGGGGGGCGGACCGGGGGGGTCCGCCCTCCTGCGCCCCGGCGAGCGGAGGGAGGGCTGTCGTTACGGGTTGGGGATGAGAATGGCGGGGAGGAGTCTTCCGGATGGGGGAAAGTGTCTCCTGACTCATTGTGCAGGGGAGCTGGCAATTTGTTGGACTGGTGGGGTGTCTTGATGCTTATTTCGTCGCAGGTGGAAGGTGATTTTGCTGGTAGTTCGTGGGTGAGTGGCGTGGTTATGCTGGATGCTCGGATGGCTGATTGGCGCAGGAACTGTCATTATCTTGGGGTTGATTGCCGGAAATTTCAGTAGGGAATGAGCACTTTCATATGCAGTTATGTCTTGAGCTCATTAGAACACATTAAATGAGTTCCAATTGGTTGCTTGAGGATTAAGGGTGACAGCTTCCCAAAGAGCATTTCAGAGGACTTCATGAATAAGGAGCAGTACAAAGGAGTGGAAGTCATCAGATGTGATCATGGAACACAGGTTGCTATCTCTGGATATAGTAGTTCTAATCCACTGAAAGTTTCCTATTATGGATTCTCTTGAAAAAAGTCTCTAGGTGCTTTTACCTTGCATAACAGCAAGACAAGCTCAGGAAAATAATAGGATTTTGTTGTAGCCATGATGAAATTTGTGTTGCCTTTTGCTGCTTTCTTCTTCTCATGGATTGCTGGTGATTCCATGCCACAATGATGACAAATGTCATACTATTGGAACACCATCTTTGCCTGACTCTCCAGCCATGATGGCTCGTGTTATGCAGCAGCAGTAGTTCTTGAATGGAGATGGGAGGCCAGTCTCCTGTCTCCACTGACGAACCACTACTGCTCTCCAGTCATAGGTGCTTTCTTCTATTCATAGAATGAGATACTGAGGAATGAAAGAAAAAGAATGCAAAATATTAACCCCAACAGGCAGGGGAAGTGGGGTGTATTTTCTTGGAAAGGGAACATTAAACATTGAATCCCAATAGGCCACAGTCCATACATAGTAGAAAGTCTGAGCAGTGGGGCAATGCTTGCTTTCGCCTTTTTGTCCTTGCCAATCCATCAATATGAGTGCAGTCAACTCCAGAGCATCAAAATCTCATTGGAGCTCTCTTCCCACTAATTCAGGCAAAGCCAGCTCAATATAACAGATGCCTGGGTTAATGTCTGACTGGCTGCAGATTTATGCAGGATGTTAATACCACTGATCACAATTCAACAGGCACTTTACCAAATATTTTAATCACATTGTTTTTTGTGCACGAGTCTGAAAAATTTTTGGTTCATTGAAATCTTCAACAAAAGTGATTAATACTACAAATTAATGGGCAGTTGTGATAAAAGCTGCCAGTTTGAACTTGAGTGAATCATTCACCACACCTACAAACTGCAACTATACCATTCATTATGTTGAAATTCATTCATTCCTTTGACAAGATAATGTTATCTCTAAATACAATAGATTGCACTGACTGAAAAGGAGTCACCAAACAGCGTAGTTATCACTCTTTCTCATAACGAAGTCCACAGTAACCACAGGTATGAGGTCCTGGTTGATCCTGAAAAAGGAAAATACACAAATGAAGGAAAACCCAACAATGAACAAATGAAAAAATAAGTTCAACAGCATATCCTACAGCAAGTAAGTGCTGCATAAAAGGACACAGCAAAAGAGCATTGATGCACTAAAAATTACTCACAAGGTTGATGTAAACTTTTGGATGGCCCAAATGTGGATCACCTCCATCACACCAAACCACTCTCTCATGGACCTTCTTAGGTGGAACCTTTGCAATCAAATCGATGGCAAATTGCTTATTGATTTCTTTTCCTGCTTTCATGAATCTTGCCAATCGATAATCATCTTTCGCCCATCTCTGAAAGATAAAAGCAAAATTTACTCAATTACACTGGAATGGTAAATGGAATCTACTAGTCAGATAGTATTATTAAAAATCAAATGAACTTCGAACATCAATTTTGCTATTTACATATTCCCTCTTAGAGGCAAACAGAACCCTCAGGATTCCTCAAGAAAGTAGAGCTTGCTTGGTTTCTAGGATAGAATTGGGGATATAAAAGACATCAAGGCAGCAGCATAGCATCAGAGGACCACAGAGGGCATGTAACCCCCCCACTTGTCAAAAATGAAGAGTGTTCTTGAATGGAAGCACGAGAACAGTGTTTCCCAGAGTTTCAAACATCGTTAGCCAACATCTAACCCTAGCCTATAACGTGCCTGTCCAGTATGAGTGGTTTTCTCGACGACCCAATCGCCCCGTTTAGCAGGGAGGTTTTCCTCCTTTTTGGGGGAGGCAGAAGCTGACGAGATTGCTGAAACTTGGGAGGACAATGGCGACCTCTTCAAAGGAGAGACAATATTCCGCAGCGAAACACCACAACAGTGGCGCAGAGGGGCAGCCATCGTGAACTGCTTCTTCCCAGCACGGTTGCTTTACGGTAGTTGCTGCGCGAACCAGAAAGTTGCAAAATAAGTTGTCATATCAGTTTTCTGCTCAAAAAGAGGAAGTGAAGTTTTATCGAGGTCTAATATGTCATTCTGAACATTTTAAGGCAAATTTTAAAGAGTCTGATGGATAAGTTCAGATGCATGTTTCCAAATATAGTAGGCGAAAACCGAATAGGAATCATAGCCCAACAACCATGTCCATTCATCAAATCCTTGGTGACGCAAGAAGCGCTGTCAAGAGAAAGCCTGATAGGAACTGGTTTAGGGGAAGTCACAAGGCATATCCTGCCTTCAAGTCTTTCGATTAGTATCTGATGGAAACCTCGCTTCCACCTCGGAAGTGTGCTCTGTAAACCGAGACTCATCGATATCATGGATCTGTTCTCGGGCAATAACTTTCCCTTCACATTGTGATTAGTTGTTATCGTACTTGTACCCTAACGTTATAGTGATTTCGGATTGACTTAGTGAGCATGAAGTTCTTAGTCTTGGTAGGCCCACATTTTGGATTCACTTCATACTAATACTAATGTCTACAACTAGGCTTATTTACCGAATATTTAGAGGCCTAAATTAGGTTTATCCAACTGAGGGACAAATATTCCAAGAAAGGAGACTAGAAGAGGCTTAGCAGTTAACGTTAATAACCACTGGCTGTTTTATTTTCATCTTCCTTGCCTTTTTTCTTAAACCTGGAAGGGAAGATCACCTTTATTGCCCTGGCAAAGGAAGGAAAAGTTCGTACCTTCCAAAATTTGCCTCTTTTTTTAACTTTGGAGCTTAACAGCAATTTAAAGTGTGACAACTGCTGCTATCAAAACTCTGATCCATGGGATCTGAGCAGATCTTTCATGCCCACTTACCTTCATCTTGGGTTACCAAAAGGCAAGTTGTGCAACTTGCTTTCATGGATAAGAACAAATGAAAAAGGCTTCCATCACTGTATGGCCGCAATATCACATAAATTCACAGCCTTTCAGTAATTCTTGTGTTGGGTTGAAGAACCTACATGGGATGGACCTTTCAGTGGATGCATGATTCATCACTCTCTTGGAAAAAAAAAAGAAAGTGGTAACATGACTGGCATTTAGCAAGTCAATATAAATCTCATTCCCATATGCATTGAATGCTATCTACAAGATGTCACTGCCTGCAATGTGTGGAAGCACTCCAATGGTGGTCCAAACTTGTTATGAAAGCAGTGTAGGAAATCTGCAAACTGGCTATATCAAAGTTGTCTCCTATCCTTCACGATGTATCTCTTATGCTGTAGGTTCTATATGCCTAGAGATATGTTCATAGAGTGATTTTGATGAATGGAACCCACTAGGCAATCTCATAACGATCTCATTTTGTTGCCATAGTGATGAGTATGTTGCTTCTTCCCTTGCTTGTAGTGAGCTGGGATTATGAGTTGCAGAGATCCTTCCCTTTCTGCATTTCAGGACATGTTGAAATTGTGCAGTGCTAGCTTTCATGTACTAGTTTTTCATGAGGCTGTGAAGCCGTTGTTAGACTCATGAAGAATTTTTAGTCCTCATGTTTGCAATGAATGCATTTGCAAATTTACAAACATATACGAGAAGATGGTCTAAGGTCTTGCATTAATTATTTTATTTCAGGAGAATTAGGAAACAAAAAGACCAATGTGCAAATGTGAGGATCCTTCTTGACGGGGAATGGCAAGTTTGAGGACGATGGGGACTCCGGCTGGATCCTGTAAAACTAGAAACCCATCTTCAACAAACCCCAGTTCCACAGCAGATTTGGCTAGTCTCTTTGAATGTCCAGTCTGCTTTGACTATGTTTTACCTCCAATCCTTCAATGTCAGAGTGGACATCTTGTGTGCACCACATGTCGCCCAAAACTTACTTGTTGCCCCACTTGTCGGGGTCAACTTGGTGAGTCCATCCTTCATTTTTATGAGAAATGAACCAATAAATGACTTGAAAATTCTACTAATGATTTTATTTTTCAGGAAACATCCGGAATCTGGCCATGGAGAAAGTGGCAAGCACAGTGATGTTTCCATGCAAGTACACCACCTCTGGTTGCTCTGCTTCCCTCCTTCACACTGAAAAAGTAGAACACGAGGAGAGCTGTGAGTTCCGACCGTATTCTTGCCCCTGCCCCGGTGCTTCCTGCAAATGGCAAGGCTCCCTTGAACAAGTCATGTCTCATCTTCTTCATGTTCACAAGTCAATCACCACTCTCCAAGGTTTGCCCATATGTTCCAGTTATGAAAAATGAGCATGCATATTGAGGCTAATTCTCCCCATGTTCAGTCAAGATTTTATGCATTGGAACAAGCTTATGTTGATTGGATTATAAGAAAACTTCTCGTAAGTTCAATTTGAGTCCTTTGGCCCCTACTGATCCCTCCAAAGACATCAGCTTGTATCAGACAATGATAACCATCTTACTTATACAAATTGATCTAACTGCATCAACTACACCACCCAATACAGTCTCACCTGATAACATCATCTATTTTCTTACCCAAGTGAATTTCCAGCATTATAGTCCATCTAGGAAGATGAAGCCATATGCACTCTAGTTTCCAAAGACATAATGAGCACGAACTCCATTGCCAAAGCAATCCAGGTTAAACTTCTTTCACAAAGTAGGTATTACCTATCAGGTGTTATTTTATTATGCTATTCCAATGCATCCCAAAAATTAGGTATATTGCTGTTTCTTTATCTCCTGTTTCTCTTTATTGAATGAATTGGATTTGGTAGGTTTGGGAGATCAATCAATCAAGTGGTGCTCTTGCTTTTGCTCCCTCAACAAAGTCATTACTTAAGTTTTATTTCTGTGATTTTACAGGGGAAGACATAGTATTTTTGGCTACTGACATCAACCTCCCTGGTGCAGTGGACTGGGTTATGATGCAATCTTGCTTTGGACACCATTTCATGCTGATTTTAGAGAAACAAGAGAAGTATGATGGACATCAACAGTTTTTTGCCATTGTCCAACTAATTGGTTCCAGGAAACAAGCTGAGAATTTTGCATACAGGTAAGCCTACAAAAAATTGCAGGTCACTGCTAAGACCTGCCATAAAGATATGGCATTTGAACTTCCTTTCTTTGAAAAGGGGAACTTTAGTGCTAATGATCCTGTCCTGTGCAGAAAATTTTTGAGTGCCTGATACTAGTAATTTGTTTTATGTTAAAAGAATTCAGGGTTAGGGAGTTCTCATTCTTTTACTCCTTACTCTGTTATGTGCTATTGTGGGGAGAAGACCTGTGAAGACATAAAAGACATGCTTATGCTTTGGCTTATGCTTTCCAGCATAAGCCATCATTCCTGGATCTTTCTTTCTCACCCATCAAGCTTTCAATTATGCTCATAAAATTATATGGGAAAGAGATGCAGTATTCCAGAACTAGTACCCTCACCCCTGACTGCTACTTTTAGACCTTATTTTTTTTTTTTAAGAAGGACATGCTGGATTGAAGTTATTGTGGTAATGAACTTTTGCTCTGAGGAATTTATTGTGCTTAGTGTACTTAGGAAACTGAAGGCTGTACCTGATCTTGAAAGAGAAACGGGTTGTGGGCAGAAATCATGATTCATTCTGTTGACTTTTGACACTCTCAAGTGTTCCATATGAGCTGTTGGTCTATGTCTCCCTTCAACTTAGCACTTGGTGCCCTGGAGCATAACTCAGCAGGAATAAGTGCCATATTGGCTCAACAATCCACTGTACATATAACTTCTTTTTGAGAGCACTTCAGCCTGGACTGGTTCATCCATTCTTGATGAAACGGCATGGTAAGAATTTGGGTGAAATACACCAGAAGTAACTAACTCCTTTGAGCTAGAAAAGTTCATGTTCCATGTGCAACCAATAAACACCCCTTCAGAGTGGGAAGGCCTGGTAGCAGAGAAACACCAAACTAGGTTATGGTCTTCATTATCACTGCTCTTGAGATAATATTGCACCCTAATTATTTTGAAAATTTGCCAAATAAATGTTATTCATCTGTGACTTCAGGATGAGATTTCAGCAATTGTAAATTATGTAATAGTAAATAGTAAATTATGTAATAATAATAAGCACATAGGTATTAAAATCTGAAGTTGTTTTCTCTGGTGCTGTATGCTTTTGGTCATTACAAAGGAATTCAATTTTGTTTAGAATTGCAGTATTAGACAAACAGCTTCTCTATTCATCTTTTTTCATGTCCAGGTTAGAGCTGAATGGACACAGGAGGCGGTTAACATGGGAAGCGACTCCAAGAAGCATCCACGAAGGTGTTGCTTCTGCCATCAACAACTCAGACTGTCTTGTGTTTGATACATCAATTGCTCAGCTGTTTGCCGACAATGGAAACCTGGGGATCAATGTCACCATCTCTATGGTGTGAATGGAGAAAATTAGAAAAATGACCCTGAGAGGGGCGTCCCACATGTGTCGTGGGGAACGATCCTCTATAACTTGGCTGTGATGTGCTTTCTCTCCCTCCTGATATGTTTCTATTTCCCATCTTCTTTCTGATGAGGAATTTCTTCCTGGGCCTGGAACCCTATCATATGGATAAGAAAATTAAAACATGAGTTTTCAATCAACTTCTTAAAAACTTTTGTCTGTACTTCTGTGTATTAGCACCACATTTACTCACAAGTACACACGTACAAGAGAGCTGCAAGCCCTGGCTTGGATTAAGAAAGGGAAAACTTCATGTGAGAGGAATGATTTAGGCATGACCTCATGGTAAGGTCAACTGCCTTCCATGCCCTTCATGTTTGTGTGGGGTCTCTGTTTCCTGTGCATCTGAGAAACCCATAAGATAATGGTGAAGTATTCCTCGGAAAAACAAAAGGTTGTCTGAGTTCAGTTCGGTATTCAATCTTCCGGAATGAGCATCGGGAAGAAGAAGAAGTGTGTCGTATTGGTTGGGGGGTGGCTGAAGAAGATGCCGTGCTGGATTGCCAGATGCGATATACCATGTACTAGGGTTGCAAACTTGTTCCTGCTGCTCTGTGCAGTCTCATTCTCCAAAAATGTCAAATTTATCTATCCTATCTGATGTCAAAGCACAAAGGATCTCTTGCTGTGGGCTGCACAAGTCCAATGCATCAAGATCCAGGAAGGCCGTTGATGCTCTACATGGGATGTCAGAAAAATGATGTGCCCAGTCTGTCTCAACTGGGTAATTTTGTGGATTATGTGTTTGTGTCGAGTTTAGACCTCTCCTACGTGAAAGAAAAGTCACTTCTTTCCAAGCCTCCTTTGATTGAGGAGTTCTCTAGAAAAAAGGGCATATATGTGAAAGATGCAATTTGAGATAAACGATAAAAACTTCCATAGCTAATCTGAAGCTGGTCAAAACTGGTCAGTAAAATGGTATTTTAGACCTTTATCCAATTGAACTTGGGGTTGTAATGAATTTCTTTATCTCACATTGCTGAGATGCAGGCAGAAAGTGTTTATGCACGTGCCCCTTTTCCATATCCGCGCTGATTAAACTTTTTCCAACGAGTCCTTTACCACTCCTTTCCAGTTAAAAATAATAATCAGTAAATGCATCTTCAAATTTCAAATAGACTCTTGAAGAATAGCAATGAAAATGTGAATATTCAGGACACGTTACATTCACCGATCACTCAGCAGTGTTCCATTATTAATGTATTCATCATGTGAATCTGCAACTATTTCCATGAATGAAAGAGGCCCATGAGCCTCTCTCTTTCCCTTTCCTCACGTCTGGTTTCTTCCTCAATTTCACTTTCAGTTGGAAAGGACGAAGTAATTCCACGAAAATCTTTCAGCATGCAAGTGCTAATGGAATATTCATGGGGGGGGGGGGGGCACCCATATTGGAATTTCCAGGCAGTTGGCCTGCTATATGCTGTAATGAGAGCGTTGGAAAATCTGCTTCATCTTTGCTGAATACGCACGTTAACTACTTGCTGACCACCCTATCCTATGACTAGTCACTTGGCGCAGCGCATGGACACGGATGTGGAAAAAGGGCGTATGGGCACATACGCCCCTTTTCCAGAGAACTCAATTTTAGATTACTTTCAAACTCTCTTCTGCTCAAGCCCACTCTTTGTTCCCTTTAACTTGGGCAGGGCATCAGCATAATTATCAGTGTCTCGAATTTCTGCGTGAGAATTTACCGATTCGAGGCGAGATTTTTTGAAGCCACCCTGCGACAAGAGGTTAGGGACGAACAGGCAACTTAGGGTGGATTTTTGAACATTTGATCCGATAATGCAGCTTTATTTCTGAGAAAGTGCATTATAAATCCGGTAAATAAAGCTGCAACCCTTAGTTTCCAAACGGTCTAAGCTTGAGGCATAATCCACGAAATTGTCAGATTTTTTATTTTAATTTTTTTTTTTTAAACAAGGCAAATGGAGTTTGAGAGATTTATTTCGGGTATTGGCTTTCTCAGTCTCGTGACGTCACGCGTTAGCGTTCCGTGACAGTTACTTCGTCGAGTCAGTTTCCTCCCCGTCACATAAAGACGGCGACCGCTCATTCGAGCCAGATTTTTTTTTCCAGTGCGGTGTTTTATCAGCCGCTTCGCGGAACGAGAATTGGTACATCGGTACTTCGTCCTGCGACTCGTCTTAATTAATTGAAAACGTTCCCGGCAGCGTCGGTCGATTTGGGAAATGCGGTGAAAGTACTAATAACGGCATTTCTGTCAGTACTTTCACTGCGTTTTTTTTTAAATAAAATTAATTTATCTGAAGCTGTGATCACGGGGCCCTTTCATGAATGCTATGTCACCGTTGCTTTCTTTATCTCGTTCGCATCGGATGCATGGGCAATTAATTAAATTAATATTCATGCTTCAGCTCCCGTCGGCGTTATAAACAATCTGCGGAACGAAACGCCTTCGGCGAATATATTTTCTGCGGGGAAGACCGTTTTTTTGCGTTCTTTCTGCGAAATCGGGGGGAAGAAATGGCGTGCCGACGTTTCTTAAATATTTAAATATTTATATATTTAAAAATTGCGTGAATTTATTCTGGTTGGGGTCGACAAAATGGATATACAGATTTTTTTGTTTGGGGGGGGGGGGCAGATTGTCAGCCGAATCGCTACAAAATACGAATAAAACTTAAAATAACATTTCAAATTATCCAGAATTCAACTAAATTAAACATATAAATTAATACGTGATGTGGTGGAAAATTTTTTTTCGTTTTTCGCCTCGTTTTCCCCGACAAGATTGAGGAAATGTGTTTTCCTCTGTTTTCATTGTTTTCAGGAGATTCCCGAGGGCTTATCGCATAAATTGCCTCCATGATTGACCGTCTCTCGTGTTGCACTTCATCAATTTACTCAAATTAGCCAAATTAGTTAATTTTAAGAGAGAAGAATGCGACGGGAGCGAGACGAGAGCCACGCAGCATCCGGAGCAGAACGAGATGAAAAGACGAGACGGGAGGGGGAGGATTTCCATGCAGCCAGATTGGATCGGCGTCAAGGAGACGTCGTGGCTAATTGGGAGGAGAAGGAAAGAGTGACATGACACGATGACATGTGACATGACACATCCCTCTCTCCGGTCGAGACGCCAGCCTCCATCGCCTCTCCTCGCTCAGTCCGGATGATGAACCTCCTCGTGCTGGTGCTCGCGGCCTCCCGGCTCGCCCTCGCGGACGGGAATGAGCTCCTGCAGTGGCCCGTGTTCGGGATCGGGCAGTTCGACGGTGGAGCCCTCGGCGGGTCCGCGAGGCGGTGCGTGGAGATCCCGGATAACATGACCCTCTGCAGGGGGATCACCTACCGGGAGATGACTCTACCGAATCTCCTTCAGCATCACTCCATGCACGAGGTCTCGCAGCAGGTAACCCGATCCGTCGGCTCTCGGCCTCGAGTTCGTGCGACTCGTGATCTATCGCATCATGAGACATTTAAATGTTGCGGTATGAATGATAAACATTTTTGTTTGCATATATAAATTATTTTTATGGCTGCGGAAGATTAAATTTATCTTCAAGTTGATAAGGAAAAGTAACATATCTTTGTAATGGAGCGAATCTGCACCCAACTCTAATCACCCATTACACAATTAAAGTACATATAAATAAATAACTTTCAATGCCTATTTATTATCGGTATTTAAATTAATTCAACGAATTTCCCCCTGCGACTGGAAAAGAAAAGGAAGATATTCATCGCGCCTTTTCCCCCCGTCAACATCTTGTCTGGAGAATAGAAAATGAGCCTTTCCGGTTCATCGGAAAAATCCTGGCTCGGCTCAGCCAGTTACCCCGGGTTGACCTCCAGACGACGTTCTCTCTTCTCTTTTTTCTTTTTTTTTTTTCGTGGCGTGCGAAAGCGTCTCCCTCAGCCGCACAGCTGCAAATTAAGCGCGTAATTATTGAAATTAAGCATGCATAATTAAGCAGGGAACGTTCCTTGATTAAATACATGAAATGGCATTTAAATAATTTATCATCTCGTCCCTCGGAGACACCACCTCTAATCGAAAGATAATTACAACATTTAAAAATCGAAAATCCAGATTTTTTCCTCAAAATTTTTTTTCCCCCTCGAAAGGACTCAGGATTGCATCAGCGATTTTTCGTTTGCGCAGCCTCGACGAGTTCCCAGACTTCCTTTCGCAAATATTTATCATGAGTCATCTCCTTGCAAACGCATTTTCTTCCGACACTTCCACCCTCTTCCGGCTTTCTAAACAGAGGCATAATGAATGATGAAAAGACCGTCACTTGCTTCCGGCGGGGGAAGGAGGGAGGCTGGAGGGGGGGGAGGGTGGGAGGCTTGGGGGGAGGGGGGAGTGACTGTCGTCTGCATTATAACTTACTTGTTTCGTTTGGTTCCACATTGATCGCAATTATGCGTGTGCTTTTTCTCAAGTCCTGAATTTTCTCTGGATTACTCCGATCCCCATTAGCCGAACAACCCTGTCGGCCCCTGTCGGCCCCTCCCCCCCTGCCGCTCCTTCCACCCTCCTCATGAATAATTTCACTATTCGCCTTTGTGTGCTAGTGAAAGCGTTTTGTCAACGCGAGAAGCCGATCCCCCTGGGCACTAGGAAATTGCAGCTGCTCCAGATCTTGAAGCTGACGAAGTTCGGGTGGGACTCCTCCGCTTCGATGTCGCCGGCTGCGAGTTTTTGGAGCGTCCGAGGCGTTTTATCCCGAGCTGTCGACCGACCGCGGCGTTCAACCGATATCGCTATTTGCCAATTTTCGCGCCGATCCATAAAAACTTCTAAAAAAAAATGGGGGGGGGGTCCAAGGTCCAAATGCCCTTTAGCCTTTTTGATGAGGAATTTAAAACTCTGAACTGCACCAGGCTTATGTTTTTATTTAATATATCCAATTTGCTACTAGAATTTATTGGAATTTAATGTTTTTCACAATCAAAATGGCCTATGAAATGTTAGCCTAATTTTGATGCACAAATTGTGCTACCAGGAAAATAACGTGGAGTCGTTTTCTTTTCACACCGTTTCGTGTGGCTGAGGGAGAGGATAGGTTGGGACGCTCATATTTCTGCACTCTCCTGCCATCTATCGTGGGAAAGTTGCACTAATAGGAAGGAAAAGCTCACAGCATTGGATTATAGCGGTCAGCCGTCGACAGGGCCGGATTAAGAAGTTGCGAGGCCCGGGGCAAGTGGATTCTTGAGGCTTCCCCCCCCCCCCCTCCCTCCACTACTTTAGGCAAATATTTAACGTTTTTAATTTCCTTCGGGGGGG